TTAAGGGTTGGACAACAGAAACAAATCTGTTTAAATCATCCAAAGAATTTGCTCCTTTATTTGTGCAGTCTTACTCTATATCAGTACTTGAATTTTGCATACAGTTTTCTTGAATTGTTATTTCTGCTGTGTTTAACTGTGAATTATTCATAGATTGTTTCTTAAGATTTTCGATGTTAGAATCATCCTGATCCTTTTTTTTTTTGACTTGAATACCTGGCAATCAATTATTATTCGCACAATTTACCTGAACACTAGAGTCCAAACCTTGTGTTTCATTTTCTTGATTCTTTTCGATTGCATTAGACGATTGGTCCTAAAAATTTATTTTTGTTATTAAAAATGATATATTAAATTGCTATACAAATTTTTAATACCTACAACATTTTCTTTATGGTTTAAAGGTAGGGCTACAGAATCTAGACTTTGAACTTCACTTTTTTAATCCTTCTCTATAGCGTTATACAATTGGTCCTAAAACTTTTTTTTAAACACTAAATAATGTATATACACATATATTAAATTGTTAAATTTTTAATACACACATCACTTTCTGAAGCATCTGAATCTTCTGAAAATTTTGTTTTTTATTTGTAGTCTTCCTCTATATTAAAGCTTGAAAATTGTGTATCGATTTCTTGAATTGCTATTTCTGAAAAGTTCAATTGTGAATTACTGCCAGCGCCAGATTGTTTCTTAAGTTATTTTTGTGTTAGAAAAATATATAGTTGCATTAGCGAAGATAGTATATATTATGTCTATTTTAGTAATAACATTATTCACATTCGATATATTGTCATTATTCTGACAAATTTATACTCTAATTTTGGCAAAAATTTATACTCTAATTTGAATATAAATTTGGGCAAAATTAAAGTATAAATTTTGGCAGAATTAGGGTTTAATTTGGGCAGAATTATGATTTAATTTGGGCAGAATTTGAATATAAATTTGGGCAAAATTAGAGTATAAATTTTGGCAGAATTAGAGTTTAATATAGGCAGAATTTAATATAAATTTGGGTAAAATTCTGCCCAAATTAAATCTAAATTCTGCTGAAATTTATATTTTAATTTTGCCCAAATTTATACTCTAATTCTGCCCAAATTAAGCTCTAATTCTGCCAAAATTTATATTCTAATTTCATCCAAATTTATATTCGAATTCTGCCCAAATTAATTTCTAATTCTGCCAAAATTTATATTCTAATCTTACCCAAATTTATATTCAAATTCTGCCCAAATTCTGCCAAAATTTATACTTTAATTTTGCCCAAATTTATATTCTAATTCTGCCCAAATTAACTTTTTTTTGCATATAGTATGCATAGTATATACAGTACGTATAGTGCGTATAGTTGATTCTAGCAATCTTATTGGTTGATAGAATTCATCTGAAGTGATCGCGTACAGTACGTATAGTTCTGTATGTGGCACATCACTAATTGCAACCAAATCTTAATAACCAAATCATTAACAACCAATCTATTGAACTCGTTTCTATTAGCCAATCAGATTTTGTAAAGTCACC